CTTCCTTACGAAATTCTGCTTACAGATTCACTGATTTAAATCCATGGCATAGGGAGATACACGTTTCTACAAGTTTAATGATCACTGGGGGGAAAACCTTCTAGTTCAATTGAACATGAACAGACTGCTTTTTAAAAGGTGTTATTAATTAATAATAGCCCATAAGTAAAGTTGGCTTTTAGGAGCTTAATGAAAACAAATTAAAGCATCCAACCATGTTAGATTTATCTCACTATTAATGAGTTGATGAATAATCTAATCAGGAGACTTAGGAGAGATGAGTCTTGTAAGACAAAGCAGGGAATACAAAATATTATAAAATGACAACTAGCTCTAAAGGAAAACACTAACTTAAGTTTGAAAACACTTCATTGGTGAATCAAATTAGGATATTTATCGAGTTTGGAACCTGGGCACAGATGCTTAAGCTATCTGTTATAAGGTGAGATCTAAGTGACAAAGAATAAAAGCATCATAGTTCAGACTTGGAGGAGACAATGCCATAAAAAACATAGTCTTACTAAGTAAAAATTTTGCATGATAAGTTAACTAAGGTGTTTAACATGTTTATAGTGAAGTTTTTCTAAAAAAAAAAAAACTAAGTAACAAAACAAAACACCTCATTTCTCTAGAAGAGCATACTGACTGAAGAACTTTGTTTTCAAAAGCATAATGAAACAAGTGATGATGTCATTTATTTATGTCTTTTTCTCTGAGGAAATTCCTCTGAGCAAAAGAGAAATGGACGGAAATAGTTTAGTTCCACAGTTCAAATATAATCAGTAGACAGGAATCTATAGATTACCAGTGTTCTTGCTAGGAATAGAAGGGACATGTACAACTACATTTAGATGTTTTGCCGTTTGGTCCAATTGGGAAAAGACCTTAAAAATTTGAGCTTATTCCTGAATTCTGTAAGGCTTTACATATGCCATTTGTTCACAGTGTCTCAAGGGAAAGTGCAAACATCAGTACTCACAATTGTTTAACACATTTATATCAGTGTCCTGTTGTTGAACCTGAACACATTGGTGTAAGAAGGACAATAAGACATACTTAATTTTTGGAAGTGATCAATCCATATGTTTGAATACATCATGTGAGATTATATTCACATTTTAGAAATCCTCTTTATCAGAACATCTGATGGAAGGAGAGCTATACATTCAGATAGAACAAGTTCAAATGTGCTGTTGCACATAGTAGCCCTATCTACAATAACATACTATATATGTTTTCACAATATTTTTTTGTTTTTAAACATTATAATTGCATCCTTTCTTCCTTCCCTTTTCCTCCCTCAAATATGTGTTTAAAAACTAAAACTTTGAGTTTTTTAAATCAAAGGTAAAGGATAAATGTTGGAGAATATAGTTACATTTGCCCAGGGTTAAATGGCATGGTTTATACACATCTTAAAATCCTATTTTACATCCCATTAACACTTACAATTTTATACTTTTCTTTGTCATTTGAAAATAATAAGAACAAAACAGAATATTGCATATCTGGAGTCTGTGAAAAGTTGAACACCCAGACACTGAAAGTAAAATTCTAGTTACGCAGGACTGGAAAGTGAGAATTGCACAGACACAGATCAAGGTGCAAAGTTTGCAACAGAAGAGAAACTTGGGGAAATCCATTAAATGCCATGGGGTGACAGGCAACAGCACTTGAAACTGGTAAGAAACTAGATTTTAAATATTCTCACTACAAAATATGTACTCTGTACATATTTACTAGTTTTCAAAGTACTGTCATCAAATGACAATGTATACACATATTCTTTTAGACAACACATATTTAATTGTTATAATTGTCAAAATAATTTGTTTCTTATTAAGATAGTTAAGATAACAAATGTTTTTGGAAAAGTAGATAATAATAACCCTTACTAAGATTGCTCAGCCCAGATCACTTTTGAGAGATCTTCCACTTCCAGGAACACGATCTTTTCATTAATCGTTTAAAAGCTTGTGTTGTCTTCAGTCTAGAGTCACATGAAACTGTAGGAAATAACACAAACTGTCCTTGGTGACTCTTAAAAGACTATGTGAAAATGATCCACTGGCATTGATGTTTGTGAAAGTATGTGGGCCAATAAAGGGTGACAGAGGCAAAAGGAGTCAATTACTCCTGAATCCTGATGCAATTTTTCGGAGCACCAAACAGTGTTTTAGTTGAAACCGCTCAAATTAATTAAAGGGCAATAAAGACTTGAATGGAAAACTTTCAATTAAATGAACTTTCCAGATTGCTATGCATTGTACTGTAATGTACAATTCATTAGTTAGCTGACATCTAACAGAATTGAAATAATACAACCTTGATGTCTGCAATCACTTCATCTGATGAAAAAAAAAAAAACCCACACAGCACCTGGGCTAATCTTGTAGTAGTGCCTCTGGGGATAATGTTGACTCTCACATTAAGAAAAAGGTGGTCTATGGAGATTTTTAATTCTCAGAGGAGAGATGCACACATAATAAAGCATCTGAATTTAGGTCATGAGCATTCGTGGTCTTCAACACAGAAGGGAAAGCTGTCCTCACAGAACTCTGGGGAGTATGCCACCTTAAGATGTCAGGTGAGAGAAAAACTGAGTGTGGTCTGAAAATAAAATTTATATCAAGGAGACTATGGATAAATTAATGAGTACAGAACTATCCAGTCAAGTAGGAGGAATAACCAGGTCCTGGAGAACGGGTCTTGAGGGAAACCATCCCTAAGTTGATTGTGTCAAATGTCTGAGATGTTTGGACAATGATAGTACAGCAATTAGACTGAGGCAACTATTCCTGAAGTGGATAAGTGGAGGACTGTCCACACTCATGGTGATGCTGACCATGGCCTCAGCTCCTTACTGAATGCAAGAATCCCTTTACACTAGAAAGCATAGATTCAGGAAGTCTTCTCAAAATGAAATCTAAGCAAAAAGAAACACCAGTTAGAATTTAGATGCAGGAGACAATTTTGAGGGCCACTGGCAAGTAATGAGACTTGGCAGGGTGTATTCTTATCAAATTTAGGATGCTATTTCTAGCCTGTCTTCCCTAATACAGTGGCATTCTCCAGTAAAGGAGCAGTGCCCACCAGTTTTCTGAGGCTAATGTTTGATTTCATCTCTGACCTTTTACTGTCCAGATAACATGTAAAATGTAATTTAATCACTGCAATCACTTCCGATTCTCAACTGATGCAGATGGAGATTTTGATCTATGAAGTGTGTAAATGAATGTAGAAATCAGTCAGCAGGATCCAGAAATATTTCATAACTAATATCAGGAAAAGGAAACTCAGGATTTGAGGCTTGTTTCTGTGTTTTTCCCTAATGCTCTTTCTCCATCAGAACTTGGACTCAAAAGAGATTTTAAATGAGTCACTGGAAAAACAATGAGACTAAAATGGAAATGTATGCTCTCAGGCAGGGGATGAAGACTTCCTGGTATAATCTCCATCAAAAATGGCATCAGGGACAATGATGGCAAGTGGACAGGAGAAGAACCAGATGTCTAGAGTTTATTGTTCATAGTATCATTGCTTATGGATGTAAATACCAGGTACATGTCTGTTTACCTTCAGAAACATGGAAAGTGATGTAAGATGGCAAGAGAGAATATGCATATTTTGAAAACCTGAGAAAACTTAAATATGTCCATAGCTTTTTTTTCTAAATTAAAGGTGTTCTGGCTAATGAACATAATGACAATGGAATCATGTCATAAATATTTTGTGATTTATTTTCTATTCATAGTTCCCTACCATTTTCAATGAAACTAATTAATTGTGCCAGATTTAATTTTTTTCCATTAGCATAAGATAAATTTCAGAATTAAGCACATAGCCAAAACACATATGCAGTATTGGCCTGAATAAAGAATAAATGATCAACACTGAACTATATCTGCAAAGTAGTCACAGTATAAAGTGCTTTGACATACAGACTAAAAATGAACTTCTTATTATCACACTCAGTAGTCCCTGTGAAAAATATCTATGTGCATTAATAATTACAAAATTAACAATTTTCACTATGAAATTAGCCCACATGTTATGTGAATGAGTACATAGAATTTGCAATCATAGATACATTTTGAATTATATAGAAATATTTGTGTCTTATTTTCCATGGTAAACAGTTTTAGAAACCATGTTTATATTAAGGAATGATATGCCCCTTGCCATAGTACTTCTTAAAATTAGTGATGGGGAGATGGCAATAAGAAAATCCAAATCCATCATAAACTATTTTGTAAAAACGTTGTAAAACACAAGTAAAAAAGAACTGGTCTAAAAGTAAGAATACATGCTAAATATGAGCCAAGCTCATGATGAAAAAAATAGGATTACTATATTAAATATGATAAAAAATGCTAAATTAAAGTAAGTCTTTTTACAAGTTTTCACACTTGTATCAGCAGAAAGCTTATAAAAGGAATAAAAATGGCAACTCTCGGATCTGTTGGGTTCACAGCTTAGCTGATAAAGTTTTGTCTTTATGCACAAAAAACTGATTTCAATCTAATACCACAGAACTTCTATAATTCTATGACCAACAAATCGGCTGATCTATCATTTATTAATTATAACCAAGACTACAGAAATTCCATAGAATAGTGAACTGCTGTAATTAGAGTGCACATTTTAACTATTGAATGGGAATTTAGTGAATGGTAAGTTCCGAGTTTTTTCATTTTAAAATGTCCATGTATCATTATTATGATTTGAGTTAACTGAAAATGTTTTTATTTTTTTTCCTTCAGTAATATATCACACCTGGAGAAGTTATACAATAGAAGAATTACCCTTTATTGGGTTCAACTTATACAATAGGAAGTGTCATAAATTCTTTTATTACACAAAACAAGAAAGGAAATTCATGACTTTGTGAGGATGAGTTCAAGAGAATGTGTATTCAATGAACAAAAATTACAGAGACAGGGTTCAGTATCTGTTTTGAGACAAGACATCTTATAGGAAGGGTATGCAGCCCTGGAACCATGCTTCCTGTCAACAGTACCAGCTCTGCCTTCTCCACCTTCCTGGTTACAGGCATCCCAGGGTTGGAGGCTCTGTACATCTGGATATCCATACCATTCTGTGCCATGTTTCTTATTACCATAGTGGGCAACATGACCATCATAGTTGTTATCTGGCGCGAGCAGACTCTCCATGTTCCTATGTATCTTTTTTTGGCCATGTTAGCTGCCTCTGATCTGGGTCTCTCTCTCTTTACCTTCCCCACTATGTTGAGGATCTTCTTGCTTGCTGCTAGAGAGATGACCACATCTGCTTGCTTCACCCAAATGTTCTTTATTCACACATTCCAAGATCTTGAATCAGCTGTCATTCTGGCAATGGCCTTTGACCGGTATGTGGCCATATCCCACCCACTTCACTATCACTCCATTCTTACAAACACTGTGATTGCCAGAATAGGATTGGCTATTGTTGTAAGAACCTTAACTGTGCAGCTGCCTCTCCCCATCCTCTTGAGGAGGCTGCACTTTTGTTATTCCAATGTACTTTCTCATTCCTACTGTTTGCATCCTGACATCATCAAGCTTTCCTGCTCCAGTACTAGAGTCAACAGTATCTTTGGACTCTTTGTGGTACTCTCCACCATGGGGCTTGACTTTCTCCTCATCCTCCTCTCATATATGTTGATTCTGAAAACAGTACTGAGGATGGCTTCCCACAGTGGCCGCCGCAAGGCCCTCAGCACCTGCGTCTCTCACCTGTGTGCTGTGGTCCTCTTCTTCACACCCATGATCTGTCTATCAATGCTGCACCGTTTTGGTCCAAGGCTTCCCTCACATGTCTATGTGACTCTGGCAAATATGCACTTCCTAATTCCTCCTGTGATGAACCCCATTGTCTATGTGGTGAAAACCAAGCAGATCCGAGACAAAATTAAGAAACTATTCATTATAAAAACAACAAAAAAAGCTCACGTCACATCAATAACATAAATTATGGAAATTTATGTAACGTTAAACATGTCTGTCTATACCAGGTCCTCTGCACGTATGTTACGGCTGTTAGCTTGGGGTTTCTGTGGGACTCCTCACAGTGGGACCAGGTGTATCTCTGACCCCTTGGCCTACTCTTGGGACTGTTTTCCTCCTATTGGAATACCTTGTCCTATTGTGTCTTGTTTGATCCTCTTTGACTGTCATCTCTTCGAAGCCTGCTCCTTTCTGAAGAGAAAACAGAAGAGGAGTGGATTTGGGGGAGAAAGGAGGGAAAGGGGAGCTAGGAGGAGTGGAAAGGGAAACTGTGGCTGCAATCTTTCCTTTCAAATTGTTGCTTTTTACTGAACTTTATACAGATATGAAAAACCAATAAATATAGTCAAATTTCATTCAAATTCCATAGAATTTGAATTTTTCCTTTCATACCCTATTCTTTTTTATCCATTTGTTTAAATACACCATCCAGATGTTTAAAGACAACATGTAAATTCCTTTATACAGTTCCTTATGAAATAAGGAATTTCATATTCTTATTTTGTGAATTTAATGTTCTCATAACTTTACAATAGTTTTAAAATTTATTTAATGGGGTATATTTGTGTATGTACATGCTCCAGCATGTAGGTGTTCATGAAAGCCAGAAGAGGATGTCAGTTCCTTGGAGCTGGAGTTACAAATGGTTGTTAGCCACTTGATATAGGTACTGGGAACTGAACTTGGGTCTTCGGTAAGAACAATACATATCTTTAACTGCTGAGCCACCTCTCCAGTCTATGTTCTAGTAAGTCTGCTTCATGAACAGGATATTGATTTTTCATTTTTGTCTTCTAGAGGATAAACCTTCCATTAATCTTCATATCATTTTGTTCATAACTTAAATACAACTGCCTGTTTATCTCATAGATATTTAGAATATTGAAATGTAGCAACAGCCTTGTCTTCAATGCCTTGTCTTAGTTCTTTATACCAAGTAAGTTGTACAAACTCATACAGCAAAAATAGATTGAGCTAGTAAGGTGAGAAGGAGATGAGGACCTTTGGAATTGAATCAGATGAAATAAAGTTTGGATAATTAATTCTTGTAAGCTCACTGACCCAACACATTTCAGAAAATGGTATAGTATCTGGGGTGATATTGAAGCAAATACAGAGAACAGAAAACCATTTGCTAACATATTAATAAAGTCAAATGACTGGCTATGTGAGTCTTATCCATGACTAGAAATATCAGTAAACTCCACTACTTTTAAATTCAATTTTGAAATTATGTGTTAAAAGTTCTTTATCACCCGTATAAATTAATAAAGATGCTTGGTAGGTTTATACTAAAATAGATTTTATTTATATGTAATGATGATGTCATTCTAATGTTCTCTTCTTAATTAGATAATTCAAATACACTGAAAAGGACAGGCATTTTCAGCTTAATTCAGTGTAATATACTCCTGAATTTAAAACTTTTTTATTAATCATGAAGTAGTGAGTGCATTTTGCTTTAAGATATGTATCTGTGTGTGTGTATGTGAGAGTGTGTGTGCATATGTTTGACTTTGAATACATCTATCATGACATTTTCATGCTTTGATTTTTTTTTTTGTATTTGCTGTACTCAATTTAATTTTCTTCCTTTTAATTTTACCTATATTTATCACAGTCTTTCTGTTTAACATTCATCTAAGGGCCTTTCTTTATGCTGTCTGTTAATCAAAATAGTTGATGCATTTTTTTTATTAAAACAAATAAATAGGATTATATTACAATATACATCACTGTCCAAAGGAAAAAATCATTATAATCTCTTACGTTACATTACTTTTGGCATCAATATAATCAGTTTGGCAACATTGTGATTACCTTCATTACTGGCACCACAATGCTTAGTATGTCTTATTAACAGGAACACTAACAACTACTCTGCTTACTTCATCCCAGTCTTACCATGCACAAATGTCTTATTTTAAATTGGGTACCACGCAAATGTATAAAAATATGTGCTCTGAGCATACAAATAATTATAATGTTTCAGATTTCTTATAGGTCTACTTTAAAAATGAGAATGCTTCCTGGTATTCCTTGAGCTCTGTTCAATCACCAACTTCTGAATTAACTGATAGTGTAGGTGAACTACAAAACCATTTCTGTCACAGGGATCCTGAGTAACTTCAAATTTTGAAATAATCATCAGTTGTTCTCACTATTTCTTATTTCAGGTTCCACATATTTTGGTCAAGACAGACTATGGTTCATCTTGTGGCAGAAAAGAAAATTAACTTTTGCATCATTTTTATACATTTTAGCAGAGTGGTGATTATTATTATCTATTTTATCCTTTGTGAATAGACTACAAATTAAATCAACTTATTTCCCTCAGAGTAGCTTCTCTTCCCTTCCTCCTTCCTTTTTTCCATTGTTGCTGGAAAATAAGAACCAGAAGAAAGGAAGAAGTGCTGTGCAAAACTGTCTTCTTGAAATTGCACGTCTGCCAAACCTATGAACTTAGCAGAAGTTGTGATGTTTACAAGTCTTGTACAAGATTGTGTCAATTCACATCAAATTATGGATAATAGTGGCTCATAAGGCCCAGCCCCCATGAATATCTACATGCAGTCAATGGTTGCTGAAGAAAGGGGAGTCATATTCTCATTCATGTAGCCACTGTTATGCTGTCCTACTCTAGTTATTAACCATGATATGTACGCTTGCAGATGGCCCTGATTAAATTCAGTAGTCTACAAACATGAAAAATATAGGAAAGTAACAGAGGGACTTTTGAGGATCAGAGGTTTCATGGGAGGATATCGAGAGCTGCTGGCAGCAAAAGGCCATGGGAATAAACAGCAGGGGACAAGTAGTATTCAAAAGGTCAACCTATCAGAATCAAGAGTTCTCAGAGAAGACTAAGCCATCACACAAGGCATGTTGGAGTTGCTGCCTTTTGAATAAACTGGCTGTTTCTTGTTGTAAACTTCTTGTGGAATAACAGCTCTTTCCCCATTATTATGCATTTTCATAAAATGTATGTATGTAATCTCATGATTACATCTCAATCTTATGGGCACATGTATCTGTGGGTGGTCAAGAAGACGGCTTTTCATTACCTGTATAATTTTTATATATAGAAAATATAGTAGGATGTGCTTCATAGCCAGGTCCATTGTCCCATGAAACTGCAGAAACTTAAAGCTTTGTTCCTTTTGCTCAGACTAACACAGAAAATAATAATCTCTCCTCAGTCTAACACAAACTGCACACATTTAGCTCATTTTTACCTCAGAGCAAGTTCAAACTAGACTAAAGGACTTTGCAAATACATCATAAGTTTAAAACTTTACTGTTAATGTACAAAGTCAGAGTTGCAGGTGTCCTATCAAGACCACTAACACAAAACACTCTAAGAAAATCCTGCCAATTCTTTGCTTGCCAAGTCTGCTGATAAAAAGCTTTTTCCAAGTCTTTGTCACATTGGGCACTGCGTCCCTTTTCTCTGGTTCTGAGACCTTGAATTCTTTCCTTACCATGGTAATGGCTCTGTTTCTTATCAATTATTCTAGGAATGTGCTATGACCTTGAGGGTTTTGAAATTTTTCTCAGAATGGCAAGGAGTATCGGTTAGAAATATAAGGATAGTCAGGCAAGAGAGGAGCTAAGAATGAGAGCTGAAAAGAAGCTGTAGACTTAGAGGAGCAGTAGAACAAAGAGAGAGTAGCAGAGAGATCAGGAAGCTTACTTAGGACAATAAAGTGGATGGACTGAAAGAGCACAGTGTGCGTAGATTTTTTCATAGATAAGTAATTTCTCCATCTGGTTGTAATACCTTTCCCCAACTCTGGGAGAAAGTCCTTTGGGGCAGGTACCCAAAAAGCTTTCATTAGGAGGGGAAATTATTTATGAGGTGGTGGGGTAATATATGATCAAAATACATTGCATGCTTCAAATTGTAAGATATAAATTATCAAACTTTCTCTTTATTTTATGTTTTAATATCTTTACTTGTGAGACCAAAATGAGCCATCTTAGAAATAAGACCAAAATGCTTTCACCATAAAATTAAGGACTAAGATTTCTCCTTTTGGGAATAGGCCATTAGTTACTGAAATCAGTCAGTTCAGATTCCAGAAACCAGGAAGTGTAAAAGTACAGAGTCACAAGATAGTCACAAGGTAATGCCTGCTGGACTATGGAATGTCCTCTCCCTGGTTTCCAGGGTAACTGACCATAAAAATGCCCCCACCTGAGGGCAGCCAATGAGAAATGGTGGCAGGCAACCACTCCCTTAGAAGTAAGATTAAGCCATGATTTCTAGAAAGCCCCTAGAAGCGAGCCAATCAGAATTGTACCCATACTAGCACCCCTAAATGACGTAACCTTGTGATTTTTCCCTTTAAAAACTGAGCTTACAGACAGGTGGGCACTTCCTCTAGCCTCCACTGTGTTGGGTGTATTGGATGAAGTCCCTGCCTAGGCTTGTATTGCTTTTGGATATCCAGAATTAAACCTTGCTTTTGCATTCCGGCATGCTCGTCTTTGGTGGTCTCTCTGGGGGGTCACGATCTGGGCACAACATTCTATCCATATGTAACATATTATTCTGTAATTCTACAGAATACCCAGGGTCTGGGGATTTCACTACATCCAGCGTGGTATATCTGAGGGAAAAAAAAAATCTATGTATACTATGCTCTTATGTCTGTTAACTTTATTCCTCTAAGACAAAATTCTATCAATATAGCTCCATCAGGCTTTCAGGGCAGGAATAAGTCTAGATACATCAAGCTCTTTGTCCATCTACTTTATTTCTCTGGGATGAAATCCTGTCTACATAGCTTCAGTTCTATCGAGTTCCCCCTCAAAGTCCTGCTAACGACTAAGCTCTTATGCTTCCCACCTCATCTTCGTCCCTGTTTCTTCTCCCTCCATCCTACTTGCTCTCTACTCCTGGCTCAAGAGTTCTATCTTACTACCTCTGTGTTCTTCTCTTCTCCCTGGTCGTGCCATTC